CTTTAGGGCTTTAGGGTTTTAGGGACCTCTTCTACGTAGAGAGAAGAAGTCCAAGTCCCGACTCAGATCAAGGCCCGAACTACTAAAGTCTTGGTGTGAGAGCTGCTGGTTCCGGACATCGCTGGCAGCCCCCGACACCCCTCAACCCCTAAACCCCAAACACCGAAACCCCAAACACCTAAAGCCCTGAATCCTAAACCCCTAGGCCCTAAACCCCTAAACCCGAAACACCTAAAGCCCTAAACCCCAAGCACCTAAACCCCTAAACCCCAAACACCTAAACTCGGAAACAGCAAACACCTAAAGGGTAGCCTTAAGGCTTATCCGTCTCGCCTTCGGAGACGGTGCGGGACTTGCCAAAGCGCCGGGCAATCTTCTCCTGTCTCCACTTCTAGGCTTCAAGGCTTCAGGGGCTTGGGTTGGAGGTGCAGGGCTTTAGGATTCTTTAGGGGCTTAAAGGTTGTTTTCTGATCTACGATAGACGGACTTTTACGACCGCACAAAGGTTTGAGGGTTTAGGGAAGGTTTTATGATGTTTTATGGTTTGGACCCAAGGCTCACACAAACAAAGGACTGCAGCACTGAACCGAAATTTCGTCTCAGAGAGTCACAGACCGGGAATGGCAATTAAAAAAGGCATGGCTGTGCAGTCCGCAGGCCCCAAAAGCTGATGCCATACTGCTCCCACTCCTGGGCCTAACCCTTATGGACTTGCCGCGGTGCATGTCTCTGTTTATGTATGTATGTATGTGTGTACGTATGTAAGTACGTATGTATGTATGTATCTATGTATGTACGTACGGATGTATGTAGTGCTGATCGTTCGTAGACGTAGATACTGAGAGTAGTTCCAGGGCGTCTGGAAACCAACTAACTTCTAAACCCTGAACCCGCACCCCTGAACCCTAAACCCTAAACCCTAACCCCTAATTAGCCTAAACCCAAACCCTAAACCCTAAACGCCCTGAACCCTAAACGCCGGTTTGGACGCTACCACGGTCTGCCTCGCCGGCCTCGTCGCGAAACTCCTGCCAAAGACATGACTCTTTACTTGGAGGTGGTTCAAGGGTAGGTTTAGGGTTTAGGGTCAAGTGGTTGTAAGGTTCCTTAAACGGGTTCTATAGGGTTTAGGGTTTGGGGTTCATGGGTGGTTATAAGTGGGGTTATAAGTCCCCTTATATTGGTTATAAGTATAGTGACCCTACTTATAACCCCATTTGTAACCTACCGATGAACCTCCAAGTAGATCGAGGCCAAAATTGTTTAAGGTCTTGTGCTTGAGGGTTTCAAGGCCCAAGAAGTCCAGCCTTCGGGGCTCATGGGCTCTACGGTGGTACACCCTAACCCGCCAGGTACCTACTACATAGGGTACTAGAGCCCCTAGGGCCCTGTATAGTAGGTACCTGGGGGGTTAGGGACAAATAATCTACCCCGTACATGTCTTAACCTCAATGTCGCAACTCTCTAGTTCCTGGACCTTGACCGTGGTCCAAACCATACACACCTTGTTATTGCTCCTACCAGGTCTACCAAATCTATGCCTTGCGTGAGTGGGGAATGTGGGGGTTGGTGGTGAGCAGCACGGAAAACCCAAGCCCAAACCTAAACCCGCAAAGGCCCTATGTAATCGCCCTAATCCTTTTTAAAAAAGCCTAACCCTAACCCTCCAGGTACCTACTATATAGGGCCCTAGGGGCTCTAGTGCCCTATATAGTAGGTACCTGGGAAGTTAGGTTAACGCACAAAAACGGTCTGGCTCGGTGCAGCCTCGAGCTGACGATGTACTTCTTCGACTTCGGCCTGCCAGGACCATGCTGTGCACACGTGTACAAACACACAATGCATGTGTAGGCAGATTATAGCAATATATAAATATGAGTATGTACGCATGTTTTTTCCGAAGCCATACCGTGAATCGACTGTACGTCAACTTCAAGACACGGCGTTGGCGCAGCACAAAGGAGGCTTACCCTCTGAAGACGCTTGTACGTGGGTATATATGTTTGTACGTATGTCTGTATGTCTGTATGTATGTATGTATGTATGTATGTATGTATGTATGTATGTAAGCATGTATGTATGTATGTATGTAAGTATGTATGTATGTATTTGTGTATATATGTATGAATGTATGTGTGTATATATATATATATATATGTATGTATATACATGTGTACACATATATATATATATATGTGTGTGTGTGTGTATGTGTATGTCTGGACGTATGTTTTATTTACCTGTTCACGGATGGAAAAACTCTGCTCTGGTGCAGCTCGTGGATTATGAACGCATTGTGACATTTTGGCTGTAACTTGTGGCCAGTCTGCACAAAGTGTCTATAGTCTATAGTTGGAGAAGTTGTGTCGGCATTGCCCTCTGCTTCAACCACAATGAGACATCTTTGCAAACTCACGTTGTCACTGTTCCAGCACGATTTTTGGATTGCTATTCCTTATAAGAGCGCACTCACGTTCTCACGATCTTATATGATCGCTCCTGTTGTGGGGGTTGCCGTCAATAAGCATGATTTAGAAGACAGTGAGCAGCATGGGGTTGTTTCTATGACTAAGACCTGCAGCTACAAGCATGCCTTTCTGTTTCACGGGCCTTAGAATATGTGACGACAGGCTTCCTTCTTCAACAGGCCCTTCTATGACTTTCATGTGTTATATGAGAAGATCTGTCTTGGCTTTCTTGCGGCCTTGCTCAGCCACTCCTTCAGCGACGTCGGGTCCTCCTTGATAGCTCCGCACCGGAAGAGGAGAAAGCATCGAAGGACCTCCCAGGCTTATCCATTTGCAGCTTTCATCCGTGCTTATGGAGTGCTGGACAGCTGACGGCTGGAGTCCTATTTTGCCCTTACTGTAGTCCCGGGCTGTGCGCGACAGCTGAAGCGCAAGTGCCAAGCACCAAGCTAGGCAAAGCCTTCAGCACGTACAGTAATGCTGGCCTCTGGCCCTGCAGATTTTCAAGCGCCCGCCTTCGGAACATCGTTGATGGCTTCGGCGAATCCCTGTGCCAAGGAATGCCAAGGAACCGAGGGCTTTGAGTCTTGAAGATCCTGCAGAGTAGCACGAACCAATCCGTCATCCCTTTATGGGGAGCTTTGCTAGTTGGAGCCCTTCGGAGCACTCCCCTACCTCAACGCGAAAGGAATGTCGCGCACACCTTCAAGAGCACCATCTTCTTCTGGAACTCCTTCTCGGCGGTCTCCATTACCTGCAGGTCGAAGAATGCCTAGTTCACTCGAGCTCCAACCGTAACCCCCCCTGCAGGGGCAATTGGTAGTCAGCAGTCAGTAAGTGTCGCAATCACAGTGCTGAAGTCAGCGGCTAAAGATGTCTAAAGTCTAGAATACCAGACCTGAAACCCTCAACTCCCCATTAGGAAACTCCAACCCGAAACCCTAAACCCTAAACCCTAAACCTGAAACCCTGACCGGCTCAAGGATGAACAGAAGCACCATTAACTCAGAGAGCCTGATCTCACCCACTGGAACTCTGATGCTCCACAGAAGGCAAACCTCAAACCTCAGCAACCCCAAACCCAACGGTTTAGGGTTTAGGGTTTAGGGTTGAGGGTTTAGGGTTTAGGGTTTAGGGCAAAAAATATCCTCTGGGCAAGACCGCGAACTTGGGTGTTTAGGTATCATGTAATGAGGGCTTGCTGTTGCAGGAGGCGGTGCAGCCTTGGCATCCTTGCGACAGAGCTTCGCGAGGGCGTCGGCCATGTTTGCTAACTCGGTCAACTGTTCGCGGCTTGTTGCCTGGACTGTGCTAAGGAAGCAGGAACACCTCAATAATCTTCCTGTATGCTGCATAAAGGGGAGCAGCCGGCGTCTGAGTTTCAAGCACGTCTTTGCATGCCTGCAAGCCTGGTCACCTGGTCTTTGTTTTGTTGATAGCCGCGTGTGTGCTCTTTCCAGGAGCACCTGCTTGTTTCCGTGCACTGAATGCTTCCGGATATGACACTGTGGACATCAGTCTACTAGACAGATCCGGACATTCGACTGCGCAAGGACCTTGCAGCAATTCAAGCTGATTCAACCGTGTGGCACTCACCTAGGCCACCGTACTAGTCGCGAAGCCTGCGCTATTAGCAATTTCTTCTGCAGCCCAACTCAACTCCTTCGGCGACATTCTGCAGGTGTGCTGTATCCGAGCAAGCTTACACATCAGAGTTTGAATCCCCCCCATCGCCTGCCTCGTGGTCAGGCTTGTTCTGATCGGAGCCCAGGGCCGTCTTGCAGGTCTTAGCCGTCTTAGGCTGCTTTGTTGTCTGGCATTCGCATCCGCGTCTCTTGGCGGTACGTACTGACTGATGACGACCGTGTACGCAGTATCCACAGCTTTCGCAAAAGGTACCCTGCTGAAACGCGGCTGCACCGCACCGCTGGCACCCAGCACCGAAGTGGCCACAGCAAACACCTTGGTGGGCGTAGTAGCCGCAAGGGCACCTGTTGCATGTCATGCAGTATGTTCCGAAATAGCTCACCCGGCAATCCGGACATAGGTTCTTCTGCTTTTGCAAATCGTTCATCAGCTGCACAGCCAGGTCCTTCTGCTCTGCAAATTCTGGAGCCACCAAACCATCCAGCCACTTCGTCTCCCAGAATTTAGACAGGAACTTGCTGAAGGCTGCTAAGTTCGTCCGGAATTCCTGCCCTGGCCCGTCTTTGCCGACCTTCACCATCTGCAGTTGTTTCTGGTCGAACTGTTTCGTGCCCTCGGCCAGCAGCACGGTCAGCTGGCGGGAGGACTCTCGGGCAATCTCCTGGTTTCGATGAAGTTCTTGATCGCCCAAGCTTGTCAGCCGAAGGCGAGAGAAACTCTGATTGTAGTCGTTCATTGCCTTGACAATGGACTTCAACCAGGTCCTTAGCCGACGAGACTGATTCTGTCTGCAGCACACGGGCTTCTAGCGACCTTACAGAACAAGTGAGAAGCACACACGCATCTTTCCGGCAGGTCAGTATAGGTGCGTGCAAGCATGCACGCATGCACGGACGCACGCACCGCTTTGCGTGTGTGTGAGTGTGTGTGTGTGTGTGTGGGAGAGCGACAACTACAGGCTACTGGCAGATTTGCGGCAGCCTTTATGTGTTTTGGATTAGGACGAAATGCGAGGTCTCAAGATGAATCCTGAGACATTGCTCCTGAGTTGCAAAAGGCGGCGATGCTTAACTTCTAGGAGGGCTACAACAACACCCAGAACATATCCAACCCATTCTCGACTCCCGCAGAAGCACACCTAACCCCACATCTCGATGCAGCCCTGAGCCCCTCAAGCAATAAATCGTACGTATTATGTCAAAGACTGCGTCGCATGTACATCATGCACTGCGCATTCGAGTGACGTTGTCGTCTTGAGCTGCTGTTGGGTGACGTCCGGGGCCGGATCTCCTCTGGGTTGGGAGGGTTTCCAAGAAGGCTTACTTGGAGGTTCATGGGCAGTTATACGTCCGGTTATAAATCCCCTAATATGGGTTATAAGTACAGTTACCCTACTTATAACCCCATTTATATCTACCCATGAACCCCCAAGTATGCTTCCGGGTTGGGGGGGTTGACGTTTGGCACCAAAGGGTCAGAGGTTTACAGGTTGGGATGTAGGGATCAGGCGTCTGTGGAGATTCTGGGTTAGGCACTGCGATCCTTAACATGTCGAGGTATCATACTTCAGGTTTGGGCCCAGGTGTCCATGGAAATGATAGCCAGGATATGATGCAGCGTCGTCAAAAAGGGAACAATCTTCAACCCTAAACCTTAACCCTAAACCTAAGCCTTAACCCTAAACCCTAAACCCTAAACCCTAAACCCTAAACCCTATAAACCCTAAACTCAGAAAGTCTCGCACCTTGAAGATCGCCTGCCGAATGTTGTTGAAGGCGGTCGAAAGCGGCTGCAGCAACTCGGGGCCTGAATCTAAGTCTCACCCATAGGCTCCATTGTAGTTCCTTTTTGGGGATTTCTTTGGGGTTCAGGGTTCAGGGTTTAGGGTTTAGGGTTTAGGACCCTAAATATGAACCACAAAAAGGAACTACAATGGAGCCCATAGGTATCGACCAGCAGAAGCCGAATCCAGACATAGTGATAGTGGGTCATGTGGATATATGGACTCGAAGCTTGAAGCCGCAATTCCGTGTCGGCACGGCAGTCTAACCAAAATCTAGCCTAGCTCTGTCGCATCAGAGTGCAACTTGTTCGGACGATGCGTCACAAGGAAGCAAAGGCTTCACACAAGATGCTACCTGCTCGGAAGACGCATCAAGCGAACGCAACAGCCGGACATACAATGCGACACAACCCGTTCGGAAGATGCGTCACAAGAATGCAAAAGCTTCGCACTGCCGCAGGTTCTTGAGACCCGCTACAGATAGTATGAATTTAATGCACACTTGCAACTACCCCCCCTATTGGTGTGCTTGTAACCGCTCTGACAACGGCGCAAGGAAGCGGCACTCTACTACCTTCGTTGGCCGAGGACATACACCGTGCCGTTCCTAGACACAGCACCATTAAGAGGAACCTGTCGATTAGAACAGGAGTGACCGGGTCCGCAATGGACGACCTAGGAACTAGGCAGTTGCAAATTCCCACTCTCACCTTGGGGGGAGCAGCCAGGGACGAAGCTGGACGAGTGCAATTTAGCCCAAATCAACGATGTCTCGCTACCTGCAGAACCCGAATCCTAGCATCCAGTCCATCGATTTCTTGAAGCTGTTTAGATGCTGTCACCCAGCGCTGAGCCCGTCGATGGAGCCGATGTCCTAAGTTGAACTCTTTGGATCAGGGTCTGGCGTTTGGCTGTCGGGGTATACCGGTCCTCAAATAAATGAGCAAGTTCCCCTAAACCCTAAACCCTAAACCCTAAACCCTAAACCCTGAACCCCTAAACCCCTAAACCCTAAACCCTGAACCCTAAACCCTAAACCCTAAACGCCTAAACCCTAAACGCCTAGACCCTAAACCCTACTGTGTGACTAGACTACAGGACTTCCAATCGGTTCTTTCAGGAGGGACTCCAATATAGGTGCCTTATAATTTAGGGTTTAGGGTTTAGGGTTTAGGGCTATAACTATATTAAGGAACCCCGCAAAACCCTATTCCAACTGTTAGGCCCCCTATATTTATTGAGGAGTCGATGGCTTTGTGATTTGGTTCGGTTCCGGGGGTTTCAGCGTAGTGTAGGGGCCTTAAACATCAGAAAAGGGTTTCGGCGCCCATGATGCTATACTTATATTAAGGAACCCGACGGAAGAATATAGGTACTTATTCAGGCTTCTATATAAACCCTAAACCCTAAACCCTAAACCCTAATATGATTATGTGTTTGCAAGCAGGGCGCAGGTCTCCCTTCAGTTCCGGTGGGCTGCACCCTCAGCTTACTAGTTGAAAAAAGGTGCATTGAGGTTTAGGGTTTAGGGTTTAGGGTTTAGGGTAGAACATGTTGACACATAGCATCATGTGCCTCGCGCATTCAGGTATGCTCGCTCTCTCTCTCTCTCTCTCTGTAGCTCTCTGTCTTTGTCCCTCTATCTGTGTATATACGTCGACGTATGTATACATAAATGTATACATGCCCCATATGTGTGTGTACACCCGTACATGCTTGTACAGGAACCCAGCAACACATACACGTGGCACGCGTGTATACACCAAACACGCACACTCACATGACCGAACCAACAACAAAGACCATGGCACTTTCACCGCATCCTTGTGCAGCATGACAGACTGCTTCAATCTGCAAGTGGAACGGAGAATGCTAAGAACAACAGCTTGCGCAACACCTCTGATCTGCACAATCCTGTAGGTCATTACCTGAGCAGGGAGCTGCACTGAACTACTGCAGCCTTGCGTCATCACGAAGCGGTGCACAAGGGATGTCAGAGCAGGTGCGATGCTTGAACGACAAAGCTCGAGCTGCGCAGGAACTTACTATTCATGTCTTGAGAGTGCAGCTAGGTTCTTAGAACTACAAGGGTTCAGGGTGTCACCGGCATTGTCCCCGAGGATTTCTAAACGTACTCAACGAGTTTCTGAGGGTAACTACTTTGAGGTTCATGGGTAGTTCGAGGTGGGTTTTAGAAGTCCCCCCAATATGGCCAAGGCATCAGGGATATCCACGTCAATCGTCAAGCATGTTTTGCGAGGGCATGCATGCAACTTGGTATGGTCTTGGCACCAATTGGCACTGTAGAAGGAAGGCCCTAAATGAGAATGGGATCCCGCTTCCTGTTCACCCCTTTGGGGTTTAAAACACTATAAATATTCAGCCTCCAGGCTACCAAGGCTTTCAGAGCCGGCCGAGGCGGTGTCGTCCCGGTCCATGAAGTTCAAGCTTGGAAGGTCTGCGATGAAATCATCTTCAACCTCCAGTCCCATTCAGAATTAGCCCTATAAGCTCAAAGCTCCATCTGCTTTGTGCAACAGTCTTGAGTCTAGACCAAAATGGAAAATCAAAAGGCTGCTAAGAGATCTCCAGAATCTTCATCCGGGTGTATCCATCGATCTGTGACGGTGTCTTTGACACGTGGGTTGCACAAAAGCACCAGAGTTGACCTCATATCCCAAGGCCCATAGCAGCAGATTTCGGGTCTAGATGGGTGTTCGGTCATGTCCGGCAAGCAACATAACAAGCTCCCAGAAAAAGCTGGTTGATCTTTTTTCTGGCGTCAAGGCCCCGAGAGCCCATAACAAGGTCCACAAGCTCTTCTAGTACTTGTTCCGAGTGGCAACGTAGCATACCCCACAGCCAGGAGCACAGGCTTGAAGACGAGGTCTTGCAATGCACTCATGCCGGTGCTCTCTAGCCACCTAGAATCATTCAAAAATTCAAGCCTCTCAATGCATACCCCCTAGAAAGGATTCGCCCTGCCCCCCTCCCTCAAAAAAACAACTTGCAATTGTTGGAATTGACTTGGCAGCATCCGCCGCACTGACATTAGCGAGAAAGGAGAGGGTGTAAAGAGCGCAGAAGCCAGCAAGGACCAGCCATATGAGCCAGAAGATTCGTTGCCTGCAGCGCCATCGGAATAACTGCCTGCATGGGAAGATCATAAAATCATCCCCAGCCGCACTACAAGCTCTAACCAAACCCTTGCTGCATCCACATTATCCACATGACACAGTTTTGCGACTCCAAGTTGGTTGCCTGGACCTCATTTCAGGCGTCCAGATTTCTCGGACCAGCACACTGCGTCGCTGGATCAAAGCCAATATCACCTGGGCACTGTTGCTCAAAATAGAAGGTTGCAGCCCACAGAATGATACCGCTTTCGGTTCCGAGTCTCGCGTTGCGCAAAATACCTGCGTTTGAAAGATCATAACTTTTGCATTATGCTGACTGCTGTCCATGCTGTCAAGGCTGCGATCTCACGTGAATGCGTGCATCTTTTGTCGAATTCACTTCGCAAAAACAGTAAACTGCGAAGACCTGATGCTCGTAAAAAATGATTCTGCTGGAAGCAAACGCTCCAAAAGGTATCCTTGACTCCAAGCTCTGACCCACAAAGTGCCGAAAACAAAGCTACACTAACTGTTAACTTCACCTGAAACAGACTAGTGGCAATGAGCATATCCCCCGCACACGCAGAGAGGAAGCCCACAATTGTTGCAGTCATCAACTGCTCCTCGAGAGTTTGTGGCGCCGCGCACTCCTCATCCTCGATGAAAGACCGAAACTAGCCCAAACTATCGGGAAAAAAAACTCATCTGACGAGCATGAAGTAGGCAACAAGGGATGCATTCTGCAAAAGGCTGCAGGAATTGTTCCAAGCAATCCTCAAAGGTAGGTTCCAAAGCACCCTCTCCAAAAGTTCCAGGTGCACCCATTTCATACCTTTTGGAGGTGCCGTGTAATTAGACCATTTATCACCACCACAGCCCTTTACCGAGAAACCATGCTCATGCAAAGCGTCAGAGTCTGGAGACTGCGCGGCGCTGGTGAAGAACATTGCATTAGTGAAGGTTGCGCTCACCTGGGTAGGCTCGAAAACTGGGTTTCCATTCCTGTCTTGCAAGGATTTGATCCGCCCCCAAAAAAGGATACTGCAACATTCGTATTCGCAAGGTGGCAATGCTCCAAGCCTGGGCACACCAGGGAATTTTGAGAAGAGAGCGAAGCTTCCCGTAGAATTCCAGGGCCGAAGCTGGACTAGCGAGCTGTGAACCGCGCGAGACTCTAAAACTCGCTGACCAACCAAGCTGGGTGTTGATCCTACTGCTCGTGTCATATCTTTGTCAGATTTCCTTGCGACTACATTATGTTTTCAAGCAGCATAGTCCTCTCTCTCTCTCTCTACGTTTGGGGATGTTTGTGAGCATGCTGCCGAGTCACCAGCTTCAAAACAATAAGGGCAACTCGCACAGTGTGTGACCTGGCGCTTCGGACAAGCTGACAGGCTCTGGCGTTTGCAGACACACTCTGACACGCTGTGACCTGCGTGGCTTCCTCCTTTCAATGCTATCGCATGCCTTGACTTGCAATGACACCCTAATATGAGGATGTTTGCTCACTGTGCTAGCGTCTGCACAGCTGCAAACCCGCAAGCCCTGAATCAGAGGAGAATGCAGCTACCCTGAACTCTGAGTCACTCAGTATGCATGCCTGCGTGCTCATCAACACAGATCTGCTTGAACCTAGAGGCCTCAAAGTTTCGTGCATACTTGGTCCCGATCTATGAGCAATGATCTGACAGTTTGGGAGGTCCTTGCCTGAAGAGGCTCTGCAGCGACGCCGTGAGCCAGGGATGCATACAAGGAAGAAGGATGATCACGCGCCTCTCAGTGAGAAGTGTTCAAATGGCTTCAGGCTGAATTTCTAGCTTATCGAAACCCCGCGCATACCTCTTGATGTTACTACCTTTTTGATTAAAGGAGCTGACGGCGCTTGAGGTGCTGATGCAGAAGGTCCACAATTCGAGTTAGGGTTCTAAGTTTCTCTTGCAGCAGCTTGCAAATGCGGTGTTGTGGCTTACAGCAGCTTCCTTTCTGCCACTCTTCTTATCATTTTCTTCTTCAGACGGTTTGATCTTTCAAGCGGGCTCTTGGTGAGAATCAAATCCCGGAGCCCTGCATACGACTTGCATACGCCTGAGCCATGAGCCATGCAGGAACTTCTCCACGGATCGAACCCCGTGATAGTGGACGTTCCAGGTGTGCATGGCGCTAACCACAGAAGAAGTCGTCTTCGTGTGCGTCACCTCGCCTGCTCCAGCGAAAAATTGGACCTCCCTTTGCACATGACAAGGTTTCTCAGCAATAGTATGTCATCGTTGCCACTACTGATCTGGCTCTCAACGCACCGCAGCAGTGCTCCATCACCACACCACCAGAGCCAACACCGCACCCACCTACGCCCAAGCTGTGGCGACGACACCGCCGCCGCCGCAACTACCACGATGACCACGACGCCGCCGCCGCCGCCGCAACCACCACCACCACGACGACGACGACGAGGACGACGACGACCACCACCACCACCGCCACCGCCACCACCACCACCACCACCACCACCACCACCACCACCACCACCACCACCGCGACGACGACGACGACGACGACGACCACGACGAGACGACGACGACGGCGTCGACGACGACGACGCTGATGACAACTGAAATGTCGATGCCGACGCCGCCGCGGACTTCTACCACCTTGACCGCTCGACTGTCTTTAGCAGCTGTGGCCTTGAGTGCTGGGCCTCCGCAACTTCTTCTCTCCGCTGGATGCCTGATTTTTGAGGGTCTTGCATTCGACTGATTCCAAAATACAAGGCCCAACGCAAAGACAAATCTCAACCTCATGATAAATGACAGAAGACAAGCTTACAAACCCCAAGCGCAAAGCCTCAAAAAGCCACAAAAAATGGTTACAAGAAGACTCCAAAGAGGCCATCACGGCTCGGATGCTCTGGCGGCAGGCACCGGTGCGGTAGGCATGGATCCTGAATCAAGGGGTTACAGGGCTGATGTTAGCGTAGAGTTCCTAAACCCTAAACCCTAAACACTAAACCCTAAACCCTAGCTAAGGATCGAAGTGATGCAGCGGTTCACCATGGCCGTCTTTGCGTCGAAGAGCTCCGAGACGGAGTCCGTGGCCTGGACTTCGAACATGGTGCTCACGAGCCAAAACACGCCATCCAAACCTTCTTTCTTCGTCAACAACCAGGCCCAAAAAAGTTCAAACTTTTTAGGATAGACCTAATATATAAAGCCAAAAAGTTTAAAGTTCTCCCATTGGCTATCTAAGCCTTTCATCGCGCAGGCTGCACAGCGCGGGCACCGCGGGCTGCAGCGGCAGCAGCGGTTCGGAGCTGCTTGAATCTCAGCTTCTTCGGCTTCCATCTCAGGCTCCAAGCCCTTTTGGGAGGTCTCGCTCCTGCGGCTCACAAGCAGCGCTTCCGCCACTTCCTCTGGTGGAAGGTCTTCCGCCATCCTACAGTCGCGACGCATTGCCCAAATCATGGCACCGGCAAAGAGGCCGAAAGAAACGAAGGTGACGATGGTCGCTGCGTAGTGCAGCCAGTGAGAAGTGGCCAGATTTTGCAGGCCATCAACTGACCTTGTTCATGGTTGGGGTAGTATTAAAAATTAAAATAAATATATTCCTTATTGGGTTTAAGTACCCTTAAAAATGTAAAATGTTGCCGAACTATGACAAAGGGACAACACTTCTGAGGCCGTGGAGCACTGCAGCACAAGCCAGACTGCCTCCAGCACTGCCCCAAAGATCGTAAGGTGGGTTGTAAGGCAAACAAAATCCTCTGCATGTTGTGGGAGCAAAGACCGTCTGATGCCCTCCTGGGCCCAGACGTTTGCCGCTTCATCCCAGAACTTGCACCGGGCACGCTGGCTGTTTAGGAGCTCCTGGGATCCCTTCTTAAACCTGAGCTCCACGGGTTTGGCCAAGTCATGAATCGGGAGGCGCCGGCCCGACAGGCTGCGGAAGTTCACGCTCACGGCAGGAGAGGCCAGCAAGCCGCTACCATTCAGCAACATTGACCTTGCTAAACCCGTTTTGAGGCGCGCTGCTCCCTACTTCTATGCTGCGCTTAGACCGCATACCGCTTGACCCTGTAGCACAAGCTACTCATCTTCAACCGATTGGTGAAGCATGCAACTTCTTCATGTCTGTCCTACAGTTCCTACTGTACATCATTTAACCAATCAGGTACTTTATTCGGTCAACGACCGCCGAGGGGCATGTTGTGCGAGAAGCCCACAGTCAAGAGAGCTGGTGGACGGCCTGCCTCGCCCAAAGGAAGAACAACATAGGGTTTAGGGTTTAGGGTTTAGGGTTTAGGGTTTAGCTTTGCGATCATGACAACCGTCGGAAAATTCGAACGGTCATAGTGACTACAATGGAAGGGATGAAGCATGGTTAGGGGAAGAGGTGAACCCCATGCCTGCGCAGTTTCTCGTGCCAGTTGCGAGGCCTGCACCACCACCTCCGAGGGGCCATTCCCCACAGAAAAGGAACCCTAAACCCCTAAACCCTAAACCCTAAACCCTAAACCCTAAACCCTAAACCCTAAATTGCCATCAACAAACACCGCTGGGGCCCCGGGCCTCTGGCGGCAAGCCTACGCCGAGGCGTCCAGCGTCCAGACTCAGAGTGCCTGCCCCAAAGGGTCCTAAGTACCTATATGGTAGAATGTACTTGGAGGGTCGGGAGACTTAGTAAGTAGGTAGTAAGTAGACTTATAAGTACCCTGAAAGGGACTCTAATTGGGGTTATGGTACTTATAAGTCCTTAAAATAACCAGTTGCTAAGTCCCCCGACCCTCCAAGTATATGGTAGAATGTAGGGTTTCTATATTAGGAATTACCATTATGATTTGGGGAAGTATCCCCCCATAACAGCACCTAGGACCCTGTGGGTTCCAAAAAGAAAAGTCTCCAGTTCATGTAGAACCCAAACCCTAAACCCTAAACCCTAAACCCCTAAACCCTAAACCCTATAGAACCTAAACCCTAAACCCTCAACTCTTTAGTGCTACCTAAACCCCCAAAAGTAGGTAAAATAATGGCCCAAAACCCATAAAAGGCTATTGTTCTACATGCTTTTGGGGTCCAGGTAAGTCTGTTCCCGAAGCACAAATTGGCTGCACAACGCCCCCGGACCTTGTGAGCCTGGCGCCAAGGCCCATGCTCGGCCTGAAGCCACTGATGACTCCCAAGTCGCGTTCCCAAGAACTCCTCAGCCAAAGGGTCCAAGTTATAGTATAGTATATACTTTGGGGGTCCAAATACCTACAAAGTAGCTACCATACTAGTACTTGGACCCTTTGGGTCACAGGTTTCAGGGAAACTTCTTTGGCTCGACATGGTGTCAGATTTGGGGTCCCAAGGCGGCTGAGGGTTTAGAATGGCGTTGTTTTCCAGAATGCCGACTTTTTGGGGTTACGGTGTGGGGTTTAGGGTTTAGGGTTTAGGGTTTGGGGCTACATACCGCGAGCATGCGCTCCTGATGCATTGGCATCCAGGTCAGAAACGTTCGAGTTCAGCGTGGCAATCACCTGCATGTGTAAAGCTCACAGCTGCCAACTAATTATCATCGGCTCGCGAACTCCACGGGGACTTCTACAAAGCTTTGGACCAAACCATATCAGCTCCGACGTATGAGAATACCAGAATCGCAACAATGGGTAAATCTTGTCATCCTAGCCCTGACAAGGACATGAGGCAGTTGGTGCCTCCAGCACAGCATTCTGCTCAGCTTGCTCGACAGCATCCAGGGCATCCTTCTAACAGACTTGGAGCCGATGTATAGTCCCCATTGTAGTTCCTTTTTTTGGTTTAACCAATAATATAATAAGGATTTTATAAGGTATCCCCAAAAAGGAACTACAATGGAGACTATAGGGATGAGATGTGAGGAAGAGCGTAGGAGAACCTGGGAACTAGCAAGAGGCTCAGGTCAAGCTGAGGATCAGCCGAAGAGGCTAGAAAAATGAGCCAGGGCGGTTGCGAAGTGACAGCAAGAGGGAGTGGAGGAAGGCGTAGGAACTAGTCAAGTCCAAAACGAACCCGTGGATCTCCCCTATCATCCTTCCGTTGTGCCAGGGTATTTGCACTTTCACAGAAGCACAATCTGGGCTGCGGTTCCCAAGGCAGGATTCCGCATGTAGGAGCCCCTTCAACGTCCATGTTCCCTTTCAATAAGCCCTCGCCTGGTTGATTGCGACTCCGAAGGCTGCTGTTCCTGCAAAGGATGTATGGCTTCGGATGTAAGTGAAATGAAAATCCTCTTGCACATGTTGGGCTTAGGAAGCACAAGAAAAGGAGTTGTTGTTGGAATTAGCGTAAGCATCCATGAACAAGTTTATCTTGGGTTGTGTAGAGACTTTCTGCCTGGCTTAGACATCGAGCTGAATGCCGCTTTGGGTTGATCGGTGCCTGAGCTTGTGCTGGTGGAGGTGGCTGATGAGGAAGAGGTGAAAGTGTGGGTCCTGCACGTGTAATTAGTCCGCATTCTAAACCCTAAACCCTAAACATTAAACCCTAAACCCTAACAGATTCAAGCTCTGCAAATCTGGGAAGACTCAGGCGGAGCGGGATTCAGCTCTGTGGGAGTGTCCGGATCACCGATGTTGACGTCTTTGTGGATGTTGCGCTGGTGCCTGCAGCCCCTTCCCCAAAGGGTCCAAGTTATAGTATAGTATATACTTTGGGGGTCCAAATACCTACAAAGTAGCTACCATACTAGTGCTTGGACCCTTTGGGTTCAGAGCCATAGAAACACGTATGACTCGGATGGACTTCTCAAGCATAGATACAAAAACAACACGTTCCAAGGAGGCTCCAGGTACTTGTTGTCATTGTGGCAGATGACGCGCTTGTTGACGCAGTGATGCTAGAACTTGACGTTGTTGGAGCGAGAAGAGCGGTTGTCGACAAAGTGCTGGAGGACACTGAGCTGCTGGTCGAGGCTGTGATCGTTTCAGAACTTGTTGATGACGGGCTCGTGGTTGACGTAGGGCTTGATGTGGAGCTTCTTGATGACGTGCTGCTGCTGCTGCTGCTACTGCTGCTGCTGCTGCTGCTGCTGCTGCTGCTGCTGGGCCTGCGGACTCAGGTTGCGAAACTTGGGAGCAAGCTAGGGGCTAATCTTCAGTTCTGACGGCACCGGAAGTGTTGTTGCTTTCACGCAGGTAGGCCTAATCGATTCACAGGCACCAAGCCCCTAAAGAGACACTACGGCACGGATCGCTATGTGGACTCGCGAGGAGAAGTGCTCTGCTCCGTCTCAGTTCCGGGTAAGCATACTTAGGGTTTTGGGGCCCATTATACTATAATTCTACTTAGGGTTTTGGGGCCCATTATACTATAATTATACTTAGCAAGCACTCCTCAAAGCTGTCTCTCATCCATCTTAGCAAAGGGCTTAACGGCTTTGCATGTAGATTTCCCATTCACCTCCGGCTTCCTGTTTCAAAGGCTCTCGCGAGTTCCAGGAGCAACCGCACAGTTGCCTCTCCTACCCTAAACCCTAAACCCTAAATCATGTCATCCCTGGTCATCTTCAGCAAGAGTGGGATTTACAATGCCCTCTTCAGAGAGCTGAGTGTCGGGCCCGATCGGTTTAGGGTTTAGGGATTGGGGTTTAGGGTTTAGGGATTGGGGTTTAGGGTTTAGGGATTGGGGTTTAGGGTTTAGGGATTGGGGTTTAGGGTTTAGGGTTTAGGGTTTAGGATGCTTTCCAGCTCCACCT